ACACCTGGGGAAACTGGAGCACTGGGCAGGGATGGTACTTATCTAAACGCAGCCCTGGAGACTCATGGTAGAGCTGAGAACAAAGCCCATGTCTTTTGGCTCTCAGTCTTGTATCCAAAAGCCCTCTTTCTTTCTGCACTTCTCAAATTTGCTCATTTTGAAATGCATCAGCTCCAAATAAAAAGGTCTATCTCAAACAGTAGAATTGTCATTCACTCTTCTCCTACTCCTGCATTTGAAGGGATGTGCAGATACAGACGTCCTGGTTCCCTCCATCATGGGTGCAAGAGAGAAACCTTTGGACTTTGCCACAAACAGCTGTGGGTTTGTTTTTTTTCTGGCACACAAGTGATGTCAATAACAGAACAATAACCCACACATGCCAATGCCTCATCCTAAAAGCCCCAGTGTACAAAACAGCCATTACTATCCTGGCATGGGCCCAACACAGTGAAAGCAAGGAAGGAGGTAGCAGTGTGCAGGTCTGCCTCAGTGAAGAGGAGTGATGGTTAGAAATCAAGCAAAACTCTTCACAATTTTGCAGTGGCGTGCTCTTCTGGTTTTTCCAGATGACCACGTATGCACCAGGAACTTATCTATTGCTATTAGCATCCTGCAGTATATAGAGGCATCTTGAGAAGAAAAATCATTTTACTGCCAAAAATACAGTGATCCTTCTAATACAACTCTGTCTGGTACAGAACAGCTGATCTGAAGTCCCTTATTGACTCAGTTTTGCCATGAGCTCAGCCCTGAACTTCATTTCAGTGTCACAACTACTGGAAACTAACTGTGCCTTTCCACCTGAAAGCATTTATTTTTGCAGAAATCTCCCTATACCTGTACCTGTCTCATTAAGGAGGCCAGCTGCACCCCAAGCTGCTTCCACTTTGGAAGCTCCAGCATTTCTGACTGGTTCTTTCCTAATGCAAGTGGCAGCTTGAAATCACCATGATAAACCCACAAAAGGGGACTGCCAGTTTTCCTGGGCACTTGGACATCTTGCATTCCTCGTGCACCTAAGAGCTCTAATACCCCAAGGCATGCAAAGCGTTACAGTACCAGGAACAATGCACCAGCCAGTTCAGTGGATGGCTCCCTGCCATGCTACTCCATTGCTTGCACAGTGCATTAACATGCAAATCCAGAATAACACATATGCTAACATCTACTAGAAAGACTTTTCATTTCATGATCTCAACTTAATGAACAAATGGAATCCTGCAGCATCACTGTGGGGAAAGCGTCTGCATAGCACAAGTGATCAAGGAAGACCTTCAGTGGCCTGTCAGAATGAATGAACACAATGAATGGCAAAGGAAGGAATATGGCCAGAGAGAAGAAAACGAGCTGTGGTAATTCTCCCTGTCCACCTCAGCTTCAGCAGCAACAATAGTGCAATCAGTGAATGATCTGTGACCCTTTGGCTCTGTGATGGCCCACTGCTTTGGTGAAGCAATCCCAATCTGTTTTGTTATACCTTGAGCTCCTATTCAACCCTCAAGCATCAAGCAGCGTAGATGGTACAAGCGCAGTGACTTCAGGGTCCATACATCTGTTACTGCTGTAACCACTGCGAAAGCACAGAGGCTGGGTTGGCAGATGGAACATTTGCCTTTGAGGAGAGATAGGTCAGATATCAGAAAGTAAAATCAGAGAAACAGATGCAGTCTTTCTTCCCTAGCAGACCGGTACTTTGCTCAAACATACCCTTAGTAACTGAAGGCACATCTCCTTGACAGCAATTCCCCTTACGTTATGAAAGACAACATTGCCGAGCAGGCTCAAGAGTGTAGCAAGGTCTCTGACCATACAAGCCTCTGACAAAGTACAAGACAAGCACACTGTAGTGAGAAGCAAGAATTGGAGGGCTCAGCATAAATGCTTTGCTTTGGACACACCTCCCAGAGTTTGTGACTATTACAAGAGGGTAATTTTCTGTGGGAAGGCTCCATTTCTACATGCTGTTAATTAAATGCTGGAGGAAAGCAGAGAAATAGTGTTATATTTTAGAATCATAGAATCATAGAATCATTAAGGTTGGAAGAGACCTCCAAGATCATCGAGTCCAACCATCAACCCAACACCACCATGCCTACTAAACCATGTCCCTAAGCGCCTCATCTACCCGTCTTTTAAATACCCCCAGGGATGGTGACTCAACCACTTCCCTGGGCAGCCTGTTCCAATGTTCAACCACTCTTTCAGTAAAGAAATTTTTCCTCACGTCCAATCTAAACCTCCCCTGGCGCAACTTGAGGCCATTTCCTCTCATCCTTTCGCCAGTTACTTGGGAGAAGAGACCAACACCCACCTCGCTACAGCCTCCTTTCAGGTAGTTGTAGAGAGTGATAAGGTCTCCCCTGAGCCTCCTTCTCTCCAGGCTAAACAACCCCAGTTCCCTCAGCCGCTCCTCATAAGACTTGTTCTCCAGACCCCTCACCAGCCTTGTTGCCCTTCTCTGGACACGCTCCAACATCTCAACGTCCTTCTTGTAGTGAGGGGCCCAAAACTGAACACAGTAGTCGAGGTGCATGTTAGTTTTCATGCAGTTAGTCTATTGACATGTACTCACTAGGACTGCACTGGCTTTTTTCATCCAGGTAAATGTCCCCACAATGACTGTTCCCCTGTTTGTCTCACTGAAACCATTCTCCTACCCCTCAGTTCCCACACTATTTTCAGGCAAGAATTCTAACTCTCATTTAGAATCATAGAACCATAGAATGGGTTGGTTTGGAAGGCACCTTTAAAGGTCATCTAGTTCAACTCCCCTGCAATAAGCAGGGATATCTTCAACTAGATCAGGTTGCTCAGAGCCCCGTCCAACCCGACCTTGAATGTTTCCAGGGATGGGGCATCCACCACCTCTCTGGGCAACCTGTGCCAGTGTTTCACCACCCTCAGTGTAAAACATTTCTTCCTTATATCTAGTCTGAATCTACCCTCTTTTAGTTTAAAACCATTATGCTTTGTCCTATCGCAACAGGCCCTATTAAAAAGTCTGTCCCCATCTTTCTTATAAGCCCCCTTTAAGTACTGAAAGGCCACACTAAGGTCTCCCTGGAGCCTTCTCTTCTCCAGGCTAAACAACCCCAATTTAAATCAATTTCAGCTAACAGATAGCGAATAAGAGGGAAAAGGAAGTGATGAAAGCACAAAAAAAGACTTAAAATAACAGGCAGGAGCTAGCACAGGGGATCTCTGGTACCAGGCTGGACTTAATAATTAAGATAAGCAACAAAACCAGCACATTTATGTTGGTATGGCTAACAATAAGGCAACAGTGTGCTGTAAAAATTTTTTGAGTATACAGAAATCATCAACCATCAATTCCTACATAGTCCACAGAACTTTTTATCATCTGAGATGTTTGCATAGCATTAAGATGCAATAAATCCACCTCTAAACAAAGTAATCACGTGTATAGATATATAAAAGTTTAGTAGTTATAAAAGAGCAAAGTTTTATATTTTTTAAAGTCAAAAACACTATAAAACCTGAGAGATTAAAACTGGGGGTGTTATATTAAAGGTATATTAAAGGAAATTGTTTGAGATTGCAGGTGAAGAAAGGTGGGAACGTACAAGCCATTCTTCTCATGGCAGAAGGCTGTGAGCTTTTTAAAGAACTACTGGGAATCCTCAGTGGAGGATATGGGATAGTTGACATACCTTGAGTTTTCAGAGTAAGGGAAGGCAACAGCACAAGCCACTTCATCAAAGCTGACTTGTAACAGCTTCTTTTATCCAAGTAGAAGTCCATGCAGTCAGTGTTCTTCCATTTGCCTCACTGAATCCACCCTCCTATCCTAAAGAAATGAGCCAAAAATAATAAACAGACTGTTTAGAGGAGTTACATAGATTGTACACAGTACCAATTACCAAAAATTTTAGTAGAGTCTCTTTACATATTGCGCTATCTCTGATGGCAGCTCCTTTAAAGACAGCCAAGTTATAACATGCTGGCCTATTTAGTGAAAAAAAGGTGGCTAAAATGTCTAAGGAGAAGGCAATGAGTTGTCAGCACTACACTGACAGCTTGCCTAAAACCAGCAGCAGGTGACCTTCTCCAAATAACCCCAGTTAGGTAGCAACTGTGCTAGATGCAGAAGTCTGGTATGTTATGCTGGTAACTCAGGAATGCTTTTTCCAGCCAATGGTGTTAGACTGTTGGGAGATGAGCCAAGAGCAGAACTGCATCCTGTGGCCAGCTGAAGCAGAGAGGAACCTCAATATGGAGATAAAACAGTATTTAGAAGATTAGCACCTTTTTTTTCTATCCATGGACTTCAGCATGTCCTACAGTGCTTGCAAAGGGCATGCAAGATCTTCTTTCCCCTTCCTTCTACACAAATCTTGCATGGCAAGTCCCAAAACACATGATACTCTATACTCCGCTGAACCCTTCAGCTGTAAAAGATGACTTCCATAGAATTTCTCTAATGCTCCTCTGGAGTGTCTTTATAGCTATTGCTATTTCTCAACAGGCTGCTTTAACTTTCTTTTAAAAATCCTGTCAAATGCTAATGACAACAAATTCTCTGTTCCTCTCCTGCTGCTTCCAAAAAGCCTTTTGGAGTTCTAGTTTAGAGAGATCACATGTGTGGGCCTTGGAGTGGAAAAGGGTTGTCAGCAGGCAATCAACTTTTTCTCTTGACACAGAAAATTACCCTCTGCTAGGGCTATAATTTATTGACATGTCTTTCACTAACAGGTCTTATGGCACAAAGTTATATCCAGCTCTACCCACACAGCTATTCCCACTCATTGCACTTACTAACCAGAAAATCTTCTAAATGTTATCTAGTAGCAAGAATTAAGCAGTTGTGTTTTGCAGATCATGTTCCTTAGCTTGCTCTTTCATTTCCTCTTATTCAACATTATCACATTATGATCCCTCTTCTTATGTGCTTTTCCTCTTCACAAAGCTCTTTAAACAGCTGCAAAGGGGGAGGGACCACTATGCTCATGAAAACTCCACTTCGCAGAATGCTTCTGCCAGGTCCTGCTGTCTGTCTCTTTCCAGGCATTTAATACCTCCAAGATTCAGGTTTGCTTTTACATCTCTTCCTTGTGCATCCCCGACAACAGAGCCTATTGCCAGCTGTCTTAAGTGAAGAACAGTAATCCACCTCTTCTTGTTATTGCCATGAGGAATACGTACACGCTCTTTCTCTTTGTAGTGGGCTCCTTTTATTTTAACGGTAAGTGATCTTTTCTTTCAGATACAGTTTGCAGAACAGCGACAGCTTTCGAGGCTAGGAGGTAGGACTGTGATATAAGCTCTCAGACAATTTGTAACTATCACCTCAGTAGGTTGCAGACTTTAAGAGGTTGCATGAAATTGATTATTTTAGTGTTGTTTCTGGCTTGTTCGGTATCAGCAAATCATTACGATGGATATGGACAGACAGTAAGTTGGACATAAAATGACAGAACAGTAGGAGATGACAATGGTAATCACTAAATAATATCTCTTTAGACGCACCCAGGATCATCTGTGAGGGGAAAAGCAGGTATTGAGCTGAGAGTGAAAAAATAAAAAGCAAATCATGACATGAATCATAAATAAGACAGATCTCATCCCTCTACAATTATTGGCTCAAGTTCATATATTTTGCAAAGTTCATACTTCCTAATTGTTTGATTAGTATGTAAATAGTTTAAATTAAGTTGAAATATGTAAATATATGCTAAAAAAGCTCAAACATACATTAAGAACATTTTCTTTAGTCCGCCAGGATTTCTTGCATAAGTTTTAGCCAACACGCACAGCCCGACAGCAGCATGAAATAGTGCATTTACCATGGGAGCTTCTTCCCACAGAGAGACTCTGCTGACGTGTTCAGAGTGAAACTGGCTGAAATTGAACCGAGACAAAAATCACATCTTTCCCATAATTATCTATTCATCCCACAGTTGTTTTGTTTCTTCAATCACTGAAAGGCAACTTTAGAAAACACCTGCTTTGTAACAAATGAAGAGTGAGGGCCTACGTTAGATTCTTAGATCACACACTTTTAAAACCATTAGTATTTCCTTTTTATTTGCATTAATTGCAGTGTAGAAATAAAAAGTCTTTAAAATACAGTAAATTCACCACTACTTCCATTGGAACAATAGCGTTCCAAATTAGCGTGCGTTGTGCTAAGAGGTTATATAAACCTTTTTACTCAAGAGTATGCTGAGAATTAACAACATCATGAAGTAATTTCAGAGAAGATAATGGGATTGTCTTATTGATGCTTCTCGCTTGCTCTTTACTAATTACAGATGGGAATTTGGTATGCTACCATTGTCCACATAAGTTATTTGTGAGAGAGGAGAGAACAAAAATGACAACATATGCTACAATATATTATTTCTAAACAAATGTTATTTCAACATTTGTTAAAATAACTGAAGTCAGGGAAACGGAGGAAACATGCCTTATGTTAAATTTCGCAATTTAAACAGTGATAACATGCATTTGCCTGTATTTGTCAACATTGCTCCTTATTCTGTTCTGTAGAAATCACTCCAACATATTTGTCATTACACTGAAAATAAACACCACAACACGGGATGACTAGTTATTTCATTTTATATATTTAAATTAGACCCCGTAGAAGGGAACATTTGCACAGGGGAGTGAATGAAGTCTGTGGTTTTGTTTCTTCTGCCATGAAATTGGAAGCATCCTGATGCAATTCTTTTTAATGGTCATACTCCCGCAGAGAAAACAAACTTACTGCAGAATGTGTACTGCAAGTTATGTGGCAATTTGCTCTTCTTGTCATGGAGCAGATGTGTAGCGTGTTCAGTGAAGCTAAAACAATTTCCCTCAGGATCCACCCCAATGTGTTTTCTCTATTACTGCTTTCAGTACACAAAAATACTCCACCCCCAAATTTGGACTGCTTCATCATTCTTGTTAAAATCATTTGTCTGAAAGCATCAGCCTACCCTCTGCAACATTTCCAGTGATTACTGCTATTTGGAAGAAAACAGTTTGCGAGGGAAACTGTGCACTTCCATTTCTTCCAACTCAGAGGAAAAAGTGGAGTTTCAAATGCATGGCTAGTGACATCATGAAATGCATAGAAAGCCGAACTTGAATGCCTGGTAATTTTGTTCTCATTAGGTGCCATCTGGTTAATATGTAGATTGGTAATGGAAAACAGATTATAAAAATTATACAAGAATCACTCGTTTTTACACGTTATTTACAGAGAGACTGGCTTTAGCAACCTTTAAGGCAGTATACTGCTGACATCTAGTGGTATTTGATACAGGCATCTGAGTGAGAGGGCAGAGCAGCCCTTTCGATCTTTAATTCTGATGATTAAGTTATTTAAAGGTTGGGATGGGATGGCCATTTTATAAAGAATTATTCATTACAGGAACCGCTTCCCTAAGAATAGATAATAATTTCTTAAAGGCATTCATTATTTAACAAATCATTTTTTATATTTGTCATGGCCTGTCATTCATCTGCATAAAGTTTATTGACAGAGTCAGTACTTCGAAATCTGAGCTGTTCTCATCAGACATGCAGACCCCACAGTATGTTTTGATTTGCAGACCAGATGACTATGATTGCTAAAACCAGATTTCAGAGAATAGGATTATTACAAATTCAGAATTAGCTTTCTGCAAATATTCTGCAGTTTCTACTTCCTACTTGCTGTTTAGCAAATACTCCATATATGCTAGAATATTTACAGAAAAAGATGGCAAGACAGTGAAAATATATTTAACAATTCAAACAAGAATTCAGTGTCTTTGCTAGCAGCATTCAGTGATCACTGCAGGAAACAAACCAAATGACAATTTATTTATATTTGAATTATAGCCATCTGCTTATGTCACTTACATATGCAATTTAAAAAAAAACCCAAACCAAAACAACACAATAAAATAACTTTAACCAAGATTCTCTCTTTAGCTACCACAAGGCTTCTCACCTATCCTCATAAACACAGAATGATTCATTTCTAGAGTGTGGCCCCATTTTCTTCACAGCATCAAATTTAGCTCTATCCTGATTGCAATACACAAGAAAAAACAGAATCTGGACCTTAGCAAGGAAGGCATAGCTCTAGCTTGATAAGCCTTTGATTAGGCAAGCTTACATTGAGAATAAATGTAATATTAAAATATCACATGGTACTAGGGCTTTTATAATGACTTGCAGGAAGGTACAAAGCAAGTGTGAATCAAAAAACAAACCGACCCGACAAACACAGATGTTATTTGTCCAAATTTGTTGTCCCAAATGGTTTGGGAAGTATTTGAGAAGCCTATTCTGAAGAACATTGTTATGGTTAAGTATATGTGACAAAATTTGTGCTACCAATGCCATAGCATATGCTGGTCTTAAAAGAATTAAAACAAGCCTGGTGTTTACCTCAACTTTTCCCCAGAGCTTGAGTAAAAGCTGTTCTTAGATGTGAAAAATCTGTTTGATGATGTTTCCGTTTATGTCTCTCCACTTTCTTACTGGATCAGAAACAAGAAGTTCTTATAGTATTTTTTTAATCTGAGTGGAATTCAGAAGTACCAAGTTTCAAGAGAGACTTGTTCCCCCTAGTAACTTACAGCCCAGTTCACATGGAAACTAGGCACCTTCCAGAAATGCACACAAACTTTGCCTGCGTATGTGATCCTGGCCTTTTGATGTCTGCCTTTCTCTGGATCTCATGGATATGCTACAACATAAAAAACCAGAACAAATTAATGTACCACAAATATAAAATACTTGCATGGCCAGTGGTTTTTACTGTGTGGAACTGCTCTGGGGAATAATGAAGCAAGTATGTTGTACAGACACTATCCTCATTTCTGCAATATCTAGGGTTGAGTTAGGTGCCCTTTCCTGTGGAAGAATCATTCTATTAATTGGATTAGAATCTGTTTTCATTAACACCTGTGTCCATCACTGTCAGCTGTATAACACAACACAGAATTACTCGACATACAGCAGAATCTCTCTGGGTCAATTCTGTTGGCAGGATGTTACCAGGACCTTAGTCATCAGTGTTATTACGTGGTCAATAGTGGTTTGAAAAGTCCACTAGAATGGCTTTAAAAAGCACAGGCAAGAACATGGGAACAAATGCAGTTACCTCCGGGGTTGTGCCATAAGCTGTTCTGCTCCATGGAGAACGTTCAGGCTTGCTTGATAGTATCCTGCAGATACTATATTTTGCAGTCACTGAACTCCAGCTTTGGCCACTAAGATTTACAGTACTTGTGCTAGTCTATAAATCAGGTTTTGATTCCACACAAAGTAAGGCTTACATACTGCCTCAGGTTTTCAAATAAAATAATTCTGAAACAGAAACATCACCAGCTACCAAAGAGCTCCCAATCATCAAAAAAACCTTGTGACTCCTGC